GGAGACGCTAGGCACGCTCTGAGGACATACCCATCGGAGACGCTAGGTATTCAGGAGGCTTGCCCCTCCCAACACTTGCACTGCTGAGGCTCTGCTGCTATTTTTAGCGCACTCACTCAGTTAGAGCTAGAATGGGTATGTCTCCTCAAGCTGGCATTTACATCTCCCTTTCTAGTGTAGACACACCCACCATGTGCTGGGTTGGTGGAGATTATTTTTATGAACACAACTGGAACATTTGATCTGTTTGGTGTTATGAAATATCTTGATTGTATGCTTTGGTTGTCTTAGGGTATGTCTACACTACAGGATTAATCCGAATTTAGATAATTCGAATTTGGGAAACAGGTTGTATAAATTCGATTGTGCGCGGCCACACTAAGCACATTAATTCGGTTTTTAACCACATTAATTCGGTGGTGTGCGGCCACACTACCCCATTACTTTAACCACAGTAATTCGGTGGTGTGCGGCCACACTAACCCTAATTCGAATTAACAAAATCGATTTAGGCGCTACTCCGCTCGTCGAGGTGGAGTACAGAAATCGATTTTAAGTGCCCTTTAATTCGAATTAACTGGCTCTGTAGTGTGGACGGGTGAAGGGTTAATTCGGATTAACGCAGCTAAATCCGAATTAAAGTCGTAGTGTAGACCAGGCCTTATATACTTAGGGTTTAAGCCAAGCCCTGAGTATTAGAAGACAGGATGAGACCTCGTGTGAAGTATCTGGTACTGACCACAGTTGGAGAAAGGATAGTGGACTAGAACTAGTGGATTGGTTTTAGATCAAGGCTCTAGTGTGCAGATGAATTTCAGATAGCAGGATTCAAGGAAAACTGATTTCTGATTTGGATAAGCAGTTAGAAATTCAGTCCAAAATGTTGCACCTCGAGGTGTATAACTTGAAACAATGTGTATGTTAGAATTCCTCACTGAACTTTGGCTTTAATACGAATCTATGCTACTTTTTATTTATACTACTGCAGCTCTTAAAGGGGCCAACTGAGACCAGTACGCCGTCAGGCTCAGTGTTGTACATAAACACAGGTTGTGGCTACGCCAAGGTTTTAAGCACAATCTTGGACCAAAGGTTTGTGGGGGGTCCAGATTAGCATGTACAATCATGTTAGCTAACTTGAGTTAAAGGCAAGTCAATTAATTTGAGTTAAAAAATTCTAGTGTGACAAAGCCATAGTGAGACAATCCCTGGACTAGAGCTTACAGGGGAAAAGGAAGGAAGCAGAGGTGAAGTGAGTTGCTCAGGGTCACACAGTCAGTCAGTGGCACCGCTGGGAATAGCACCTACATCTCCCGAGTCCTGCTCTAATGCCCTGTCCATTGCACCTCATTGCCTCTCATCTGCGTCATGCAGCTTTTGACTGTGCCACCTTGAGCTATGATTTCATCGGCTCTCACATGCTAAGCAGCATTTGGCATGAAGCAGGGATGTAGCAAGAACAGGGTACGTGCTGCCTATTTTACGTCTAGCTAAAACCTCCCTGCCAAGGTTCTGGTCAAATGGAATTTCTATTTAGATACCAACTGAGTTATAAAACACTGACAATGGGATCGATCAGAGTGATACTGACATCGCCTTGACGCATGATGCTACTTTCTCTAAACTCCACACGGCCTCTGCCTTCACTGTCCCTTCTACAGCGAGCTGTCAGTGTAACGACGGAGGCACTTTGGGTTATGTGTCCGTGTTTTCGTCAACTTTAAGGGGTCTACCTGAGTCCATGAGGGCACTTCTCACCACACATCACAGGATGCCATGTGAAACGAAGTGGCAGGTAACCCACAGTGACAGGGTCAAACAACCAGGAAAGGGTTATGGGCCACCAGCGGGTCACATGACCCAGTCGAGGATTTAAAGGAAGGGTGTATTCTCTTTCTGGAGGCTGCAGACCCCACAGGCTTTTTCCCATGCCTCCAGAAAGAGGGCACATCCTGCCCTTAAATCCCTTGCTGGGTCATGCGACTAGCCCTTAACCCTTTCCTGGCTGTTTTATCCTGTCACACCCACAACTGGCCAAAAGAGTTTGCATGAATTCATGAGACCTAGAAGAGCCCAGATTCATACAGCTCTAGCACAAACACAAGCTCACCTTTACTGTACTGGTACCTGTGTGATACTGTAACCCAGCTTTGAGAAATAAACCAGCCAGGCACTAACCAGGATATTGATCCACCAGTGCATGTGAGGCTTTGAGGGTGAGGGGCAGATCCTTTCATCCTTCTCTCTTCTTACTTCTCCACCAGCTGAGCTCCTAGGCTCTGCAGCACAGAAGCAGATGCAGGTGTTCCCGAGCTCTGCAGGAGAAAGCTTCCTCCATTGCTCCTGATCTCTGCAAGACACATCCCACCCCCCTCCGTGCTTGAACCCAGCCAGAGATTGACTCCCATTTCTCCCCATCCCTACCTTCTGCTAGGAGGGGAGAAGCTCAGGACCCCACGACACTGAGCTCCTGTGATGCACCACTCACCATCCTTGGTTTTTAACTTGCGAAGTATGAGTAGGCCAGTGGAGTTCTTGAGGGTCACTGGAATAAACCTGTGGTTGCCTGTATCACGTATCCGTGATTTTAAGCATCAGTTCGGGGATGCTGTACCATAGTGACATCATAGAGTCCTTCTGGGATTTACTTAATGCCTTGACACGCTGAATGGCACCTGACCACAGTCATAGAAAGGCACAGCTACACCATGACTGGGTGGTATCAACACACTCACAACACCAAGGAGTCTATCCTGAAAGCTCTCGGAACAAAGAGCTCCCAGTGATATCGAGCGGAGCACCTACCGGATCAGACTTCAGGCCAGAATGCTCATGCTGTTGCTATTTCATAATATATTTACTGTTGCATTGCACGGTGTCTTTCAAATGCTGCTTTTTTTCCACCCTGACTGAACTGGCCTTGTCAGCACTGGGTCTCCACTTGTGAGGTAACTCCCTTCTCTTCCTGTGCCAGTATATTTATGCCTGTATCTGTAATTTTCACTCCATGCACCTGAACAAGTGGGCTTTTTCCCCACGAAAGCTTATGCCCAATAAATCTGTTAGTCTTTAAGGTGCCCCCGGACTCCTTGTTCTTTTTGTGGATACAGACTAATAGGGCTACCCCCTGATACTTTATAAGACATTTACTCTGTATTGTACAGCACCTTTCAAATTGTGAACAGGACCTTCAGAATCAGACCCCATGAGAAATCAGTTCTATGGAATCATGACACCTGGGACTCAGTTTGTATGTGCGGTTAGGGGCTGCCCTTTTGATTGTTTCAGTTCGGGCACCATAACTAACTGGCCACACCTTGGCCTCCTGGAATGTGCCGGTGGTGAGCTGCAGAAACATAAATCTAAGAGGAGCCGGTGAAGGCAGGCCCAATGGACCGTCAAAAGTGCCTTAGATGTTTTCAGGATTCTCAGAAAGCAAACAAAGGTATCGATTCCACCCTTAAATACACTCACCCAATTCCCATTGCCTTCAGTGGGGGGCTGTACATGTCTCTGAGGGCAAAACCTGGCCATGAAATTAGTTCTTAAAGAGCCTTTTCCCTTCCCTTTGCCATGAAACACCACTAGGCACAGCTGATCTCACATGGGTTCTGCCATGACAACGAAGCCAGTAGCTGTAAATACAGCAGCTTCTGACTTCTCTTACACTAGCTTGGGCTTAGGTGGTGTCTGCGTGAGATACCTCCAAGGCGGGGCAGTTTTTATTCCGGAAGCGGCAATCTGTCTGTACTGAACAAACACCCCAGCCCAGTGTACGGGGGCTTAATACTGCACGAGGTGGCACCTTTCAGCTATGACATAAAACCAGGATCCTGGCCTTTTGTGATCAATAACGATCCTAGTACACTCTTTTGAGTTCCAGTGTCATGGTCAAATTCCAAGCTAGGGGCTTGATCCATGGCAAGATTCAAGGAGGGATGGGACACTTATATGGATAAGACAACGACCCAGAGTTATGATGATAGTTTGGAAGGGATATTAAACCTCATGCTTCAGAGCTTAAACCAATCTCTATTAGAGATCAAGATGAGACCCATGTAGAGGGGAGATTATCCCTCATCTGCCTATTGCGGTGTTCTTACACCTTCCTCTGAAGCACCTGGTGCTGGCCACGGTCAGAGACAGAATTCTGGACTAGATGATCCAGTCTGGCAGTTCCTTTATTGCTGCGTGCAGAGGAGGGTGTGGTATGCATAAGAGTGCAGTGGGGAGATGCAGCAAACACAGATGGTGATGAAAAGTGCAAGATACTGAGCACAGCTCACTTTGCCTGCTCTGCTCCTATGGGTGCACAGCCCAGAAGGGAGTGGGTTGGGGCCTGGAGACAGAGGGTGCTGGGCCCTAATCCAAAACAGGTAAATGAATTGCTCAGCAGCCATTGGTTAGAATGCTGAGTTGCTTCTCTACCCACCTACCTGGATGGAGAAGCAACACACCAAAGTGAGTGGCTCTTATACACCTGTCCTGTTTTTCCTAGTACCTTTGCCTCTGCTTCCACTCAGGATCAGGACCCAAGTGATTACATGGTGTCAACCTCCCTTCCTCATGCACTTGTCAGTAGACCTTGTATCTTTCTTTACTCCCTGTTCTACACCACTGTATAGGGTTGCTGTGCCCTCGAATAATTGCCATGTTCCACCCCATCCTGACCACCAGTGCAGCACAGTTTCAAACCCTTTGAGATATCGGAGTCGAAAGGTGCTACAGAAGTACAAAGCACTATTCATTGGCCAGAGCAAAAGCGCAGCAGAAGAAGGTCCTGTACAGTAATTAGCTCAACATTTCTCTTTCTTTGTCACCTGGCTTTAACGAACGTCCTTGCTTGGTGCCCAAACTATGATTAAAGTCCCACTCTGCAAAAATAGAGCTACGCCCTTTCTTTTGGACTCCAGGCCTGCAGCTTCTATGTATAGGTGATCACTGAACCAACACCAGGTGCAAACAATACAAAATGTTACACGCACCTAATGGAAACCCCAGATTATCTCAGCACCAATCAAGGCACATTTAATATCTCTGCTTCCTTGTTTCAGTGACAATAATTTTAACAGCACATGGAAGACGAGCACTGTGTTCTGAACATCAGTCCTGCAAAGCTGTACTCATTCCAGGAGTCCTTATTCACCCAAGCGCTGCCCTGGAGAAAGAACTACTCAGGTAAGCGTTTGTATAACACCAACAGACGCTGGTTGACGGTAGCCGGGATCAAACTTGGGACCTCTAGAGCTTAATGCATGAGCCTCTACTGCCTGAGCTAAAAAACACATGGCTGTAGCAGGCTCATCAAACTCTAGCTGCCACTAGAGGGGGACAGAGTGCCACACCAAGCCGGCATGGGTTACATAGGCATGATCCGGTCCATAATTATCTCATCAGCATCTCATTTCAGGAAAGGATTAGTGGAAGAGAAACTCATTTGAGATGAATGTGAGCCCAATTAGCTACCCCTACTGCAGAGCCACTATTGCTTGTAGGGTGGTGGTGCTTGCAACAGCAGAGTGCTTTCCAAAGGCTCTAGACAGTCCCCGCAGGAAGAGCGTGTGGCCTAAAATGAGAAGTGGCAGACAAAGAGCGGGAGAAAGGGCTGCTATATGCATGCAGCTGGCCAGGGGGGAGGCTGGCACAAGCCTGGTTAGTTCCCGGGCGTTAGGTGGGTGGGTGCAGGTAGGAAATGGAGTGAAAGGGAAAGGCGAGGAAGAAATGAGGTTGATTGGGTCAAGCAAAGGGGTCAGGGAGGTGGAAAGGTGGGGGCTATGAGAGTGCATGGCAGGACTGGAGCAGAGTTCCAAGGCCAGTAGAAATCTCATTATGTCGTCAGCAGGCCAAAGCTCTGAAGGCAGCTTCTGCGGTAGTGAGGAGACCTTTCAGAGGCTGCCTTGGAAGCTTCCCCCCACATCGTGTTCGTTGTTACTGGCCATGTGGGTTTAGAGGACCCTGTGAGCTAGTGTCCTGGAGCCCTGTGGTCTGGGCCGTGGAGGAGCAGGGAGAAGGACAACATCGGATAATTTAGTCCTTATTGACTGGAAAGCAGGTGTGTGTGTGTGTGTGGGGGGGGGGGGAGCTGCGAGGCATGCAGGGTGGGGGACAGCAATTGAGAGGGCTGGAATAAACGTACCCAATAACACAAAGGCATTAGGCCTCTATGACACTGCAGTCATTTCAACGTACCTTCCAGGTGAAGCCACATTAACCTTCCTTTAACTGAGGTGATAGAAGCAACGCATATTTCAGCAGGGTTCCTGGGGTTCACAGCCTCTAGCTTCATATTCTTAGTAAAGCCCCGGCTGAAGGATGTCTGAAAGAGGTCAAGCATCAACATTGAAACACAGCACCACAGCACAGAATGGCTTTAAATAGACTCTCCCTTGGTTTCCATGGAGAACACAGGAGATGTCTAGGACCGCCTAGGCCAAGAACTCACCAAGATTCGAAAAGGGATTTAGATGGGTATGAAGAATATCCAGCGTTATCATAAAGACAACTTCTGGAAGAGATATTGAAGCTTGTGCTTCAGGGCTTAAGGCAAATTTTGACCATCAGAGACCAGAATGAGACGTGTGTGGGGGAGGCAGATTATCTCACGTCTGCCTATTGTGGGTCTCTGCACCTTCTTCTGAAGCATCTAGTGCTGGCCACTGTCAGAGACAGGATACTGGACTAGAGGGTCTATGGGTCTGATCCAGTCTGGTAACTCCTGTGTTCCCAGAACCAAATTTCCACAGCAAACCCTCTATCTGCATGTACAAATTAGAAAACCGTGTACGCATTTACTCACAGAGTTCCCCAGTTTGACTGTAAGCTTGTCTGCAAGAACAATTAGTTCACGGCAAACTGGGGTGTGAATCTACATTTTGGGTGGGTTTTTTTTTTTTTAGAGATTTAAAAATTTTATTAAAGCTAATGTTTAAAATCAAGTTTAGACAAGTTTAAGAAGGAAGATACTTTACATCTGAGGTCAGGCTTGAGTTATGGGAAATTACAAGTATCGGTTACAAGGTTCACACGATACATACCTATTATGTAACCAGCATAGACCCAGATTGGGGTGTGGGAGTTTTAAAGCACCAGTGAATAAGTGATCTCGGGTATGCTACCCATAGAATGTAGTTAGAGTCCAAGTCAGTATTGGGTACACTTTGATCTAGTCCTCTTTGAAATAGGACTAGATCAAAGCCCATTAACAGTCTGTTAATGTGCGTCAGCGGGGTCCATGTGGGCAGTTAGTCCACAGAGGCTACTGTAGGGTAGATTCACATCCCGCTTGCCACAAACTAAAACATTCGTGTAGATAAGCCCTTAGTTCAGTACAGAGTGCCACATCCTCAGCTGGTGGAAAGGGACGTAGCTCCATTCACTTGAACACAGGTTGACTTCATGTCAAACTATTGAGTTCTGCTGATGTACATCAGATAAGGATCTGGCCACAAGTTGTAACGGCTCATCTATACCACACAGCTCTGAGAATATGGCCCTTGCCAATTTTTCAGCCTTTTGAGAATAAGCATGTATCTGTCAATGCTAATTACCACCAAGATCTATCCTAGTGTATTACTAAGGTTTGGTTTATCCGGAATGATATAATAAGTTTGAAGATTTTATTTTATGTGTACTTTATTATAGGTGGGGCTGGCAGCACTGCCGATTATTAAGGTTGCCCAACACTTCCATTAGAAGACCCTGTTTTCAGTTGTTTATAACTTTGCCGGACTTTAACCGCTTGGGCTGAAATTTTCCATGCTGGGTGTTTGCATCATGCTGAATATTTTGGAAAATTTCAGCCAAAATGATTCGGATGTTTCCGAGAACAAGACCATGTTAAACATTTCTGCTGGTCTTATCTTTGACAAGCTCTAGCTTCTCCATGATTTGGCGCAGAGAGCTGAAATTTAGCAGGTGGCGGGCCTTCGTGTCAGGGATGTGCCTTTTGGCATCCCTGTAAAAATCTGCCCAAATTTAGCCAACTAATAAGCCTTTGAAAAGTCACAACGCACACATGCTCAGTAGAGACTTGTTAGAGATTGGCAGATTAATTCCCCAAAGATTCCACCTGCACTGGGCATGCTCCAGCTGGAGTTGCAGGGGGGCTAGAAGGACACTCCCTGCAATTGCAGTTCACAGCTGCTCCAGGCCAGGCCAAGCCAGGCCTGTGTCTCTGCCTGGGAACCGAAACTGAAGCAGGGAAAATGTCTCTCCTGTTCTGTCAATGACATTCCACCTCCCCACACCCTGCCCCACTTGCCCTAGGCACCAGGAAGCCACCTAAACTGAATGCAGAGAGGACAAGAGCCAGACTTGGGATGGAGTGGGAGGAGAGGGAAACTGGGGCTGGGAGCTGAGTGGAGGAGACTGGGACTGGCTGGGCAAGGAGACTGGGAGCCAGGAAGGAAATTGAGGGGACTGGAAGCCAATGAGTGGGGGAGATACTGAGCTCAGACAAAGGGCTGGGGAGGGAATAGGATTGGCTAGGCAAGGAGACTGGGATTGGGAACCAGTAGGGAGGGGGAAAGCAGGAGAGAGATCTGGTGAAGAGCTGGGGGGGGGAGAACTGGAACTGGCTGGGTAAACAGACTGGGACAAGGGGCTGGGTGCTGTGATTGGGCTAGAAGCCCAGAGAGGGAGACTAGCACTGGGAGTCTGTGGGGAACGTGGGTGACTGGAGGCGGGCGGGTGGGAGTGGGAGTGGGAGAGAAATAGAATGAGGAGTGCAGAGGGGAGAACTGGCACTGGCTGGGCAAGGAGACTGGGAGTAGGAGTGATGTTGGGGAGACTTGGACAGGGAATCTTGAGAGGTGTGCTTATGACTGGCTGGGCAAGGAGACTGGGATGGGGATGAGAGGCCTGTGGAGCGGAGACTGAGATCGGCTAGGTGAGGAGAATGGGACTGGGACAAGGAGCCAAGGATGGGGAAGAGACAGGGCAGGGACTGGTTGGAAGGCAGAGGGCAGATGGGATCTAGCTTGTAGGGAAACAGGTAGAAGAGTCTGTGCCCACTAGGGCACTCTCACCTCCACCGGATGACAACCTACTACTGCTATCAGTTTCTCTGTTAGCTTAAGTGGCAGAGGTCTGTGGCACAGATCTAAAGATTCCAACCCTGCTGATGACCCATGTGGGTGTCAATATGATGCCACATGATAGAATTCCTGGGGGGGTTCACTTTGCTTTTTTAAAAAGCTAGGAAATTATACACAAAAAACTATGTTAGAAGAACATTATCATGGGTGCAAAATCAAGCCATCAAAATTTAGGAAATGCCAGAATTAAAGCTGCCTGGTGCAACCTAAATTTGGCCCCTTCGTGCGTTTGCATGATGATACAATCTTTAATTACACAACCACACACTAGTTTTTCTGACTCAGTCAGTGCACAGGATGGACCTACTCGGGGATGAATCAGGTTTGAGTAGTGAAGGCCTGTTGTCTGTGGGACTCCTGCTTCATCTGTTGCCGAAGTTAAAAGGTGAAGTGAATAAGCAGGGGATTGCAGGAAGAGAAAAGATGGTCTCATGATTAAGGCAGCTGACTGCTGCCCTGGAGAATTGGATTCTATTCCTGTCTCTGCCACAGACTTCCTATGTGATACTAGGCAGACTCTGAAGTCTGATTTGCAGAAGTGCAGCACACTCACAGCTGCAGCTCAAGTCAACAGGAGCAAACATATAAAATGTTAGTGTAACCCACACACCTCCTGAGTGTGGTGCAGCCGAAGAAGTGAGCTGTAGCCCACGAAAGCTTATGCTGAAATAAATTTGTTAGGCTCTAAGGTGCCACAAGTACTCCTGTTCTTTTTGCTGATACAGACTAACACGGCTGCTACTTTGAAACCTGTCCTCTCTAGTGGCACCAAGACCATTAATCAGTCTACTACAGCCTTAACTAAAAAACATGTGGCTCCAGAGGTCCCAGGTTTGATCCCAATGACCAGGTCTGTCGGTGTTACAAGCGGGGGCTTGTCTGGAATATCAATTGGGAAGTCTCCAAAAGTTGGGATGCGATTCCTCAGCTTGGGGAAGTATGTAACCCACACACCTCTGGGGTGTGGTGACCTGTCCCCTCTAGTGACACTGAGACCACTTAGAGCAGGGGGTTCTCAAATTGGGGATCAGGACGCCACAGGGGGTCATGAGGTTATTACAGAGGGGGGTTGCGCACTGTCAGCCTCTACCCAAACCCTGCTTTGCCTCCAGCATTTATAATGGTGTTAAATATATAAAAAAGTATTTTTAATTTATAAGGGGGGGGGGGTCACATTCAGAGGCTTGCTGTGTGAAAGGGGTCACCAGTACAAAAGTTTGAGAACCACTGACTTAAAGCTTAATGAGTCTGCTATGGCCTTAGCTAAGAGCCATGTGGCTTGAAGCTCATGCATTTAGCTCCCAAGGTCCCAGGTTTGATACCGACTACCTGGGTCTCTCAGTATTGCAGTAGCCACTGCTGAGGACTCTGAAAAATCAAGTTGTAGATGTCTCAAATTGGGTACCCAAAATTAGTGGAATTTTGACCATTGTCTCTTGGTGTCTGTGTTTCCCCATCTGTAAAACAGGGATAATACCCACTCATTTCACAGGGTTATTATGAAAATAAATCCATGAACGAAGCATACAGATACTATAGCGATGTGCACCATAGAAAGACCATGAGGCAATTAAGCATTCTGTCTTCAGATTAGGCATGAATAGCATGCAGTAAATAAGGGATGGGGGCCACACATTGAACAACAAGTAAAACAGCTGCTCATTAAGTGAGCACCATCCATCCTGTGCACCAAACCAGGCAGTGGAAAAAATAGGATGCGATCACGTTATTAAAGAATGTATCATAATCCATACGCACAAGGGGGGTGAATGAAGGTTGCATGGGCAACCTTCATTCTGGCATTTCCTAACTTTTGGGTGCTTAACATTGAAACCTGACTTTTTTTATTTTTTTTTAACAAAGGGTTTTATGTGTAATTTTGATTTCAACCGATAAAAGACACTGAATCAAAGAGGTCACACACCCTTTGGGCCACATCCTCAGCTGGTGTGAATGAGTTCAGCTCTCTTCACATCAATGGCTGTAGCTATGTTCGCTTCAGCGGAGATTTACACCAGCTGAGGATCTGGTGGGTCATGATTTTGTGAGGCACTCATAGACCATAGCGACGGGGATCCATATTAGACCTTAGCTAGACAGACAGGCATGTGGGCAGAAAATTAAAATCACAATTTGCAACAATGCACACAACAGCGGCAGACCATTCACCGATCCCCCGCACAACCCCAGCAACAAAACAGCCACTCACCTCACAGAACAAAGAAGGATTCCCACTTTCGGTTCCCATCGAAGCCCCAGGACCCTATTAAACCTCCTCAGATTCCCAAACCCACACGCATCAGCCTTTCCCAATGCCCATCCCAAGAGTCTTCTGCTCACGCATGTACATTCCCCCCTGCCCTGGCCCCAGTGTTCCCTTTCCCTTCACTTTTTTTCCCCATTTAGCTGACCCCCTTCCTAACTAACCCCCACTCCCTCCAAACGAATTATGGAACTAACCTAACGTTTGCCTCCATCACACAGTTCACTCTACTTATGTGTTATACTCCTTTCCTCTACGATGTGTCTGCCTTGTCTATGTAGACTGTAAACTCTTTGGGGCAGGGACTGCCTGCTACTCCGTGTTTGTACAGCACCAACTACAATGGGGCCTCGATCTTGGTTGGTCCCTATACAGCACCCTAATAAACATGATTATTAATCATTGTCATTAATCCAAGATATTCTTGGGTTCCATCCGGCATCCCTTACACACGAGTCATGGGACAATGGCTTTCATCTTGACTAGGAAAAGTGGACACCTTTCGGTCAGGCTTAACCAATACATGCTAGCTAAGTTCAACCTAAACTCGACCTCTTTTCCTCATCAGGACAGAGCCAATGAGCGTCGTCATTAACTTCCCTAGGGCTACGCATGTGACTAAAGGCTGCAGGATGAGGCCTTTATTTCATTAAGATTTCTTGCAAAAATGAAAAACATGAATTGCACACGGGAGCTTTTTCCTGCTCTCCTTATCGCTTGGACTATTCAAAGCCGTGCCCAACGCTCAGACAGGCTTCCCGCTTCTAAAAGCAGCTAATGGGCCATGTTTACAAGACATCAGAGTGAGTTTGTTGAAATGTTTTTTATGCCAGCTAACAAGGAAACACCATCTATCATCAGTCTGGCTCCTTTTGTTGTGATGCAGCGCCGGAGGCTAATTTATAAAGAATCAATGGCAAAACAGTTAGCTGGGAGTTTATTTTCCTAAGCATTTGGCCACGTCAATCCATTTCATAACTACCTCTGCTTGCTAAATAGCCCCAAGGGAAATGGTTACAATGTATCCACTTCGCTGCCACCTCTCCTTGTGGTAGGTGGAAGATGTGTGATTAAAAAAAAACAAGTTTGTAATCAACATTCCATCAAAGAGCCGCTCTTCGCATGGTAACAAATGGACTAGCCTGGTAGGGATGTCAGGCAGATGACAACGGAGAGACGGCAGTTCTCTGTAGAGAACTGTTTTATCAGGAGTCAAATAATAACAGACACGCGTTCATACAATGAATGTTTAAAAAAAAAAGTTATTAGAACTGATTTAATCTTTGAAGGACAATCTCGGGGTGGCTGGCATTGTGAGCACAGCTCCAGTGCCTAATGAAAAGGAAAAAAAAAGGAAGGCAGATAAAAAGAAGGGAAGAAAGAAACAAACGGAAAGGAAATGTGACAATCATCACCAGGTTCATTTATTTGCACGTTATCATATCCCTGTCTCAAACTCTCCATCAGTTCCTGTGTTTTCGATTATAAATTCTGCCAGGCAGGGCTTTCCTTTCATACAGGACAGTACAATGCAGGACAGTATGGGGACTCCCCGTCCTGAGGTGAGACGTGATCCAAATCCCACTGATGTCAATGGGTGTCTTTCCAGTGCCTTGAATGGGGTTTGGATCTGGCTTTGGGGCCCCGGAGCTCTACCCTAATAAGAAAGAAAGAAGGATCACCTATAAGAATTCTAATATGAACATCAGAGGACCTTTAAATCCAGTCACGCTGCAGGCACATAAGAAAAGCCACACTGTACAAAGGGTGATGTAAGGTTCCCGACCCTGAGCATTCCATCGGCAGCACAATGCCGCTGTGCAACGCCAGTTTAACACAATGGAAGATGCACTGCAGACTCGGGAAAAGCGCGCAATGTACCTGAAACAGTAGCAGCATCGTGCCGCTCCTCGGCTCGCTCCTGCTCGCCGGCAGCGCCCATCTCCAGTACACATCATGCCGGTAGCAGGGACAAAGCGGGACAGAGAACAGAAGAAAGTAGATGTGGCCAAAGGGACACTGACCGCAATGTATGCGCCTCACTACAACACTGTGACCCAGTTCCGTGCATCACAGCAGTTCCATGGTGGGTGAGACTGCAGAGAGGCTGCCCAGGGGAATCCAGGCCCACCCTGCACTTCGCTCTACAGAGGTTCTCTCCCAGAATAGCATAGCAGGGGAATGACAGGTGGGGGAATAGCTTGTGTGTCTTCTGGCCAATGAACGGCTGCTCGTAAGTGACCACGAGGAATCAGCTGCCCACCTGGTTCAAACAATGTATTATTTTGTACAGTTTCAAAGGAATGTTGGGCCTGAATTGCTGATGGGCTCCATGCTCCGATGAAGAAGGCAATCATTTTCTCATACTGACACCAGGCAAGAAGAGCGCTGAACGTTGAAAAGACAGAAGGTTAATGCTTTGCTTAATGAGTGGTGGACTCCTATACATTAAGCTTCATAGACGCGTAGCTCCATTCCTAAGAACAGCCCAGTTAGGCATAGTTTCCAAAGCTTTTATGAGCCTGCAGTGTCATGATGTATAGCACACTCACACACAACTCCTGCTGTATTAGGGAAATTCAAACACTCCCTAATGGTGGAGCTTCCACCTGGCTCAATCAATGTCCTACTTACTTATACCTCGATGACTTCACTTAGCCTTTTAGTGCACTATGTTAAAAACAAAACCCAGAAACAAGAGAAACACTCCAATGAGCAAATCAGCCCCACAAAGTCAATAGGCGTCTTTCCATAGACCTCAATGGGCTTGTACAGTATTATTAATTATTTTAATCATGGTAGCACCTACAGTTCTCAACAAAGATCAGGGCCCATCGTGCTGGGTGCTGTACAAACATAGTAAGAGACCTGGAGAGCATGCAATCTAAATAAGCAAAACAGATAAAGAAAGTATTATTGCTCCCATTTTACAGATGGGGAAACTGAGGCATGGAGCGATTAAGTGAGTTACTTAGGCTCACACAGGACATCTGTGGCAGAGCTCTCGTCTCCCAGCCCAGTGGTTTAACTACAAGAACATGCTTTCTCACAGAAGGCTTTGGATCAGGCCCTTAGTTCAGAGCAGTAAGGGGGCTTGTTCAAGCTTTGATCAACACCATCACAAAGGGAGAATAAGTCTTACGTTTCTAAAGCAAAAGTGAGGAGCTGCCTCTGCTCCACATTGCTTCTGATAATCTGCCCAGTCAAAGTCCTGGCCAGAGTAACCTGTAGGAGAAGAAAACAGGGAAACACGGTAAGTCATTATTCCATACGGAGGAGAGAAAGAAATGAATATTTCAATGCGACAATAATTTGCACTTCCATACCGCCTCCTCCCATCTAAGGATCTCAAGGCACTTTACAAACACCAATGAGTTAAGCGCCATATGCCGTTGGGAGGCAGGTAATTATTATCATCCCAATTTAAAGATGGGGAAACTGAGGCCCAGACAGTTTAAGATTACACAGTGAGGGAATGGCAGTGCTAGGAACAAAGACCAGACCTCCCAGCTCCGAGTCAGACACTTAACCCACAAGATCATCCTTCTGGCTTCCCTGTAAATACTCAGGGACTGAAATACTGTATGTGTGGCATGGGTCCAGCACTCAAAGGAGAATAAACGTTGTCACGCTGCTCTGTGTAATGCTAGTTTTATTTGCTATAGTCTGTGTGTCATCCAAAATTACTTCTTATTATTATTCTTTGTAGTGGGAGTACTTAGAGGCCCTCATCAGGGATTGTGGCCCCACTGTGAAAGTGCAGTGCACTCACATGTAACAAAAAGATGGCGCCCGTCTCAAGGAACTTACAGTGCGTTTAGTTACAACTCTCTATACACACTCGGTGTTGCTGGAACACAGCTGCCTCTAGGGTGGAGGGCAGCCATTCAGTGGCACATGGCAGTCTACTGGGGGAGAGGAAATTCTTGCCACGTACATCAGGGCAAACCCTCTGAGCTTATTGAAAAGCACCTTAGGATCTTTAATTCTACTCCATTCCAGTTCTGGATATCTTCGGTATTTCTAAGGCCTCCATCGCCATAATATCTCAGCACCTCACACTCGTTAATGTATTGATCCTCCCAACACCCCTGTGAAGTGTGAGTCCTGTTGTACAGATGGGAAACTGAGGCACACAGGATTGATGTGACTTGCCCACGGGCACTCAGGAAGTATAGGTGGAGCAGAGAAATGAACTCAGGGCTCTCAAGTCCTAGGTAGCACCCCAACTTCTGGATCCCTCCTTCCTCTCAGAATGGAGGTCACCTTCATTTATAGGGCCTTGTCTGAAATAGCCCCAGTCCTGAGACTGTATGGAACTCCATGTATCTATCTCGCATGAATGTCTTGTACAACTTGGCTCTTTAGACTGTAAGCTCCTTAAGACAGGGCCTGGCTCTGTGTTTCTACAGTGACTAAGAAAATAGGATTCTTATCTTCACTGGGGGCCTCCAGGTGTTACTGTGATAATAATTGTAGAATCATGATCACTGGAAAGTTTCAAGGATGGTTTAAAGCCCAATTTCTCAGCCAGGTCTTCCTCTATGTGGACACAATTTGGGCCCAATCTTACAAGGTTCCGAATACCCTGTAACTTCCATTGTCACACATGGGAAATGAGGGCACTCAAGAACGTACAGGACCGAAACCTTTATACCAGTGAAAGTTATTTCTGTTTTTTCTTTTTTTCTCCAGCAAATGAATTGCAGGTGCAAAAGTTGTGGGTGCGAATTACGTCTATAAAAAAGGAAGGGCAAGGTTTTAAACACGTATCCCTAAGAATCCTGTCGAGAGGCCAGAATTTAGATTAGATTAGATGAATTTAGATTAGATCATCATCCAGAAGAGATCCCTTCTAATGACGGTGTACACAACAAATAAAATAGTACAGCGCCGAGCACAGATGGTCACAAAAGGGTTAGCCTCTATGCGCTACAAAAATCAAGATAATGGACACAAGTCAGATATTAGGAATGGCAATATACAAAAACCTGTAGGAGAACACTTCAACCTCCCTGGCCACACAATAGCAGATTTAAAGGTAGCCATCCTGCAGCAAAAAAACTTCAGGACCAGGCTTGAAAGAGAAACTGCTGAGCTTCAGTTCATTTGCAAATTTGACACTATCAGGATTAAACAAAGACTGAATGGCTAGCCAACTACAAAAGCAGTTTCTCCTCCCTTGGTGTTCACACCTCAGCTGCTAGAAGAGGGCCTCATCCTCCCTGATTGAACTAACCTCATTATCTCTAGACTGATTCTTGCCTGCATATTTATACATGCCTCTGGAAACTTCCACTACATGCATCTGATGAAGTGGGTATTCACCCACGAAAGCTTATGCTCCAATACGTCTGTTAGTCTATAAGGTGCCACAGGACTCTTTGTCGCTTTTTACAGATCCAGACTAACATGGCTACCCCTCTGATACAAAAATCAAAAAGTTAAAGTCCTATTAATAATTATATAATACCAATACCCGACCAAGAAGAAAGAAATGGAAATTCACGAGGAAACAATCAGAGTTTAGTCAAAAAATGGATATTGTTTTTCATGGAAAATTTTAATTTTCTCTGATATTTTATGTGAAACAGTTTTGGTTTTTTGACACAACACTGATGCCAAAAAATACTCAGATTTCAGAAGTGGAAACATTTTTGTTTCCCACTCCTTCCAATCCCCTTTTCCCCCGTTTTTCATGCTTTCTTGGTTTTTCATGGAAAATGAGGAAAAACTACAATGAAACAAAACATTTTCTGCAAAAATGTCATTGAGGACGAAAGGCTGTTTTTCATCAAAACGCATTTTCGACTGAAAAATCTCAACCAGCTCCAAGAAAAAAAAAAAATCTTTATAGCCAAGTAAGTCTTCTGCGTGACACACTGGAATGGAAAACAAAACAAATGGCATACATAACTTCATGTGTTTGTCTTAACGAGAACATCCTACAGACCTAACACTCTCTAGCATTGCTGCTAAGACTCTGCTAAAATGTGCTACATCTGTTGAACTTTAGCCCTGAAGCAACAATTCTACCATGGCTGAGGAACAGTAATAAACGATATGTGAAGACAGTTCTTTTGGACACCAGCTGCCAGAATACATTGCTGTCAGAAGAAATAAAAAGCTGGATACATTCTAAAGGTTCCCCCATCTCCAATTAAAACCCAGCAGACAGTTTTTGGATCTTTTATTGTGAGCTACACCATAGCTTTGCGGTGAAGATGGGAACGGCGTGTGGCAGTGGATTCACCGGTGGGCTATCTAATTGTCACTCCACAATCATTTTGCGGCCTGATCCTACACCATTGAAATCAGTGGAAATTTTACTGACTTCAACAGTGGCAGGATTGAGCCCTTAGAGAAGAGCTACAAATGAGGATGCCGCAACTCACTAATATTAAGATTCAGTAGCAGAAGGGTGATTACTCCAAGAGCTGGCACTCACTAATTCTGCCTGCAAAACACGTTTGGACCCAGGACCTTCTGATCCACATTGCAGACCTCACCTGCGTGAGCTAAATGAGTAGCTCCATTAGCAGCTTGCATTAGTAAACCGTTATCCTCTTGTGGCTCAATGTACATTGACTCGCTTTGCTAATGTGTTTGAAATGCTGCCCACAAAACAGGGGGGAAAAAGAATGTGCTATTATCTTGTCTGTACAACACTGGAAGAGCCTAGTGGCTTACTCAGAAGTGAATATAACAATCCAAATGTACTGAAAGTTTTAAAGGGAGTGTTCCCTTAGTAAATCTTACAAATGGTAGCTCTACCGAAATGTTTCCCCCTCTCCTAATAGCTCATAAAAAGAAACAATGGCTGTTACTCTAAAGGGAAGTGGTCTATAAATCCAGTTCTAATAAATATAAACTGAGCCTGGTCAATGTTTATACAGAGGTAGGAACTGGGTATTCATTTTTGGCACTATATATAAAAATACTGCTCTATTTCTAGCAGCATATGTTTACAACTCCAGCACATGACTCATCTACTGTACATTTTCTCTGTCGACCTCTGCTTTACAAAAGATGCGGTGGTGTACATGTAAAAGCGGGATGGATATTCTACATATAAAAAGCACGGTGATGCCGAATAATCAGACAGGCCACACTATGCCTGATGGAACAAACTATTACTGTCCTAGGCAATGAAAGTAAGGGAACATTATAATCATGGAACCTTATCTCCATTTAAAGTTATCCAGAGAATAGAGCGTAAATATACAAGAACAAAGACTCCTTGTACAAAGAAGAAATTCTCAGCAGTGGCTTTGCTTTCTCATCTCCTCCTGCATATCAATTTGTGGACTTTTCCTACAGATGGACATTTTGCTAGCAAGTATCTTCAGTGTCTTTTCTACATGGGAAAGATCCTGGCCAGAAACTTCTCGGCACAGGATCATATGAAAGACGCTAAGGCTCTCCCACCCCCACAGCAGCAGGAGGAGTTTGGGTGTGGGGGGGGGGCTCAGGCCTGGGGGCTGGGGTGCAGGAGGGGGTGAGGGCTTTGGGTGGTTCTTACCTTGGGGAGGGTTCCCTGGAAGCAGCAACATGTCCCTCCCTCAGCTCCTAGCTCCGCCCACAGGCACCGCCCCCGCAGCTCCCATTGGCCCTGGTTCCTGGCCAATGGTTGCTGCAGAGCTGGCAGCATGCGGACCTAGGAGCTCAGGGAGGGACATGTTGCCGCTTCCGAGAAGCCGGGTAGGGAGCCTGCCAGCCCCGCCAACTCCCTTCCCCCACCACGAGCGGGGGTCCCGGGCTACTCCCACCCAAGCACCCCCAGAACACCCCCCAGCACTTGCGGTGCCCCCCCCATGCACCCATAGCGCACCACCCCTGTGAACCCACAGCACCCCCCGGGCCACACCCCCGAGCACCCATGCCCCTCCCAGCACTCTTTGCTTCCCCCTCTCCCCCCCCAGCACCTGTAGGCCCTCCACAAGCACCACGGCACTCCCAAGATTTAGTCAGGGGTATAGTATAAGTCATGGACAGGTCACGGGCTGCGAATTTTTATTTACTGCCTGTGACCTGTCCGTGACTTTTACTAAAAATACCTGTGACTAAAACGTAGCCTTAAATATATTTCATCAGTTGCCTGTTCACACCATTGTTGTCTTTTGGAAACAACTCATTTCTGTAGCTCTCCACCCCTTTTATATTTATTTGTCCTGTTTGTTTCTTTAATGTTCAAGGCTGATATTGTCCTGTTCAGAAAGGGCTAGAGAGACATGCACTCACGTAAGTCCCCCCAGGACTCTTTGCCAGTTTGGTTACATTTTTATTTCCCAGACACTTTTTAAATCAGGCATTTAGAAGTGCTCAGACCTCTGATCACATTTGAGTGACAGACATAGCGCTTATCAGATGAAAAGGCTTTCGACACCCTGGGTGTTAAGATGTATTTTGGGCATAGAGCCACCAAACACACCAGAAGTAATATGTTAATTTACTCTGTATGGATATCTCCCATCTTCCTCATGTCATTGCTTACACGTCCCCTTCAGGATCCTTGATTCAACAGCCCCACCTAGCAGACCGGAGCTTTTCGGTGTGCTAATTTAGCAGGGTTTCCATGCATGTCTGTCACTGGGGGACAAGAGGATTTCTAATGATTCCTCAAGAACCTTCGGGAACCCAGATCCCTGGAGGTGATACTATACATCTATTTTCTCCTTAAACATTTCTGGCTCAGGTACAGAAACAAGTACAGTAGTCACCAGAGGTGCAACTATGCTGCTGCCATGCCAAAAAAAAATTGGCATCAAATGCAGAAGTCAAGGCAACCTGAATCATAAAATTCTGTATCGAAAGAAAGGCCTTTGTATCACTTTAAATTGAACGTGCGTGGTATGGAACTTGTGAAGCAATGGCCACTGTAGCGAGAAACATATGGTCTATCGTCTTAGTTAATTAACAGGCCTGTATGAGATGGATTCTGAATAGGCAGGTTACCTGTCAAGAATGGGGTGGCTAGGGGCAAATACTAAGATTTATGAGCGGTGAAGCTGATAATTGTGGTGCAGTGGAATCAGGGGACCTGGGTTCTAGCCCTGGTACTGCCAGTGACTAGGTATGAGTCCTTGGGCAAGTTACTTTGCTGTTCTGTGCCTTGGTTTGCCTTCTCTAATTAGACCATAGGCTTCTCGGGGGAAGGCCTGGCTATGTGTCTGTACAGTACTTATGATGCTGGGTCCTGTAATGTAAACTGGAGACAATGGTTTTGGCTCAGGCCCTATATGAAAGGGGATTAATTAGACCATTCTTTGAGGAAATAGTTTTCCTAACAAACATTTGTGAACAGTTAAGCAAGCACCTTGGTTTCAAGCAGTATTGAACTCAGTGTCAAGAGGCCACATTCATTTCCCTAGAACTAGCAGAATAAAAGAGGATAAATTCTGTCTGCAGATGTGACTGACTTCGGCATGGGCTTCAGATTAAGCATATGCTGGAGGGTTTTTGTTGGATATGTGCCCAATACCTTGTATGGGTGAACCCACTAGACGCAGAGTTTTAACCCACTAACAGTATTAGCGTGACAATGGAATAATAGCTTACAGGCTAGCATGCAGCAGCATTTGATTTCCAATTTAAATAAACTCTCACTCACCAAATATTATTGGGGCGGAGGGGGGGGGGGGATTACAATTTTATTTCAAATGGCTTTGCTGCCACCAGAATATCAATTTTAGCAAAAAAAAAAATGGTAGCATTATGGCTGATCTTGCACTGAAGTAGATGGACTTTGGAGTTTCAAAAATTACATCCTTTTCAAGGTTTTCTAAAACTGGAACAATTTATCCGAATTGAACCAAAATGAAAAAAAACTCCAATTGGAAGTTGCAAGTGTTTCTCTTGGCTTCCAGTCCTAATTCTCCCACCAATGTATTGTGTGTTCTTGGGCAGATAACTTCTTTGTGCCTCGGTACCCCCAGCCCCGCATCTGCAGAATGGCCCCTTTTATATCCATGGACTGCTCATTATCAATCTCCCTTAGCTACTTGCCATATTATCTGAGCAGCTCACGATGTTAAATGTATCTTCACTACACTTGCGTAAGGCAGGGCAGTGCTATTTAGACCCATTTTACAGATGGAGAATTAGTGCACAGAGATGCTAAATGACCTGCCCAAGTCCACACAGGAAGTATGTGAGAGAGGCAAGATTTGAACCCCTATTTCCCAAGCTACTGCCCTAACCACTGGACTATCCTTCCTCTCTGGATACAGTAATGAGAAGAGCACAATATGGCCTTCAATGTCCATACAGCGCCATGAAGGTGCTGAGTATTATAAAGTTCCATATTACAAGAATTCATTATATTCTGTTTTGTAGTTGTGTCAGTCCCAGGAAATTAGGATTTTTAATCAACTTCAGTACAGTACATAATGCACGTCAATAAATAAAACCATTTATAGGACCAGCTCATCAGCTACTCCAATTTATTCCAGCTGTGGATTTGGCCCATATCATTTAGTGTAATTTTTTCCAGACAATTAGCACTTCTATCTTCCAATGTAAATTGAAACGTGGTTTTTAAAGGCATCAAGAGAGCCGGTTTGTCTTTTGGTAGGGGAAAAACAACAACAGAATACCGACCATCAAAACGCATAATACAGACCCTTAGGAGGTGTGAGATTGACTCCGTTTTTAAGGCACCATTGTACTGGTAAGATCCCTAAGGAATCAGCATGGCAGAGCATTGAGATTTTGCTGGGTTCGGGTCTCAGGTCATCAATGGTCACTTGTAAATAATGATTGTTAAAAACCTGAAGGGAAGAAAACAGGCCAATGTTAATTTATTGTAATGCGCACCGCACTGGGGTAAAATAACGTATCTATGCCTGGTTGTCAGCATAATTCTCCATAGTTTGATGTGCAGGTCTCAGCCACGAGGGCTCATTTATCAGCACAGACAGTCGAAATAGGCTCCTGAAACTCCATAGCGAGGAATGGAACTAGGAGTTGTACTGATCATGTCTGCCGTGTGGGTGAAACTCATCTATAAGCAGAGAGCCAGCAAAGACTAGGCACCAGTTACCTCCCACTCAAAAGAGGGTGAAACAGGATTTAAAGCAGAGGTGGGCAAACTATGGCCCACAGGCCACATCTGGCCCACGGGACCCTCCTGCCTGGCCCCTGAGCTCCTGGCCCGGGACGCTAGCCCCCGGCCCCTCCCCTGCTGTTCCCCCTCCCCTGCAGCCTCAGCTCACTGCGCCACCGGCACAATGCTGTGGGCAGCAGCGCAACTACAGAGCCGGCTTGACCCGGTGCTCTGTGCTGCGCTGTGGCGTGGCTGGCTCCAGCCGGGCGGCGCGGCTGCCTGTCCTGGTGCTCTGGGCAGCGCAGCTGTAGCGCCGCCAGCCACCGGTGCTCCAGGCAGTGCGGTAAGGGGGCAGGGAGCAGGGGCGGTTGGATAGAGGGCAGGGGAGTTAGGGGTGGTGGTCAGGGGGCGGGGGTGTGGATAGGGATCAGGGTGGTCAGAGGGCGGGGAACAGGGGGGTTGAATGGGGTGGGGTCCCTGGGGGACAGTCAGGAAGGAGAGGGGGGTTTGGATGGGGCGGCAGGGGGCAGTCAGGGCAGGAGTTCTGGGGGTGGTCAGGGGACAGGGAGAAGGGATGGTTGGATGGGGCAGGAGTCCCAGGGGGGCAGTCAGGAATGAGAGGAGGGGTTGGATGTGGTGGCAGGGGGCAGTCAGGGGCGGAAGGTCCGGGGGCGGTCAGGGGACAGGGAGCACGGGGAGGGGTATATGGGACAGGAGTCCCGGGGGGGCCATTAGGGGACAGGGGGGTTGGATGGGGCAGGAGTCCCGGGGAGCCGTCAGGGGGTGAGAAGCAGGGGGTGGTTGGATAGCGGCCGGGGGCCGGGCCACGCCTGGCTGTTTGGGGAGGCACAGTCTCCCCTAACCGGCCCTCCATACAATTTCGGAAACCCGATGTGGCCCTCAGGCCAAAAAGTTTGCCCACCCCTGATTTAAAGGGCCCTGGACCTCGTGCTGTCCTTTGGCACGGGGTGAATTCCACCTGTTGTGTCACATCATAGTTACAAAGGGACACACTCAGATTGAGAGGACATGCCTGGGACCTCAGTGAGAGTCACATGTGGGCAGAACCTGGCCTGAAGTGTGTTATCTGAAGCATTGTGGCAATGACTTTTACCAGACCAGTTAAGAGGGATGATAACATACTTGCTAACGTTTCTGATGGTGAATCCTGATTTGATGCCACATAAACATGCAGGGCACCACCTAAGATTCTGGGGCTGCTCATCAATTGAATTTGCTAGAAACAAATCCTGGCTCATCCTGGGCTGGAGGTCAGAAGAGGCAAGGCGTCTCTTTTCCCTTCATGTGCGCCTGGGGGCTTGATCCTGCATCCGCTGAAATCAATGGCACTGACTTCAAAGGTGCAGGATTGGGCCCTGCCGCATGTTGCCACTAGCTCTGCCTATGCAAAAGGAGTGAGCTGGCTAAGGTAGCTGGAAGAGGGTGGGTCCAGTGTGGTTGTGGGCGGGGCTTTTATATCGGTAGGAGAGAGAGGGTAGAACGCTCATAAAGTGTAGTGAGTTCCCAAGCCAGCTCCTCTCAGCTGTTCACACTACCACACACCACCTCTAGCACAGCTCATGTGCAGACAGGCAAGGTTTAGCCCTTCTTTAATTACCAGGCGATGGTGGCCTTCTTGCCTGCTAGAAGGGCCATCAGCTAGATAGTGCAGACAGATGCTCAGCGGGCATGTCAGCTGTTTCTGGCATTGCACAGGTAGTGCAATATTCTTAGCTACCAGTGTGGGCCTTGGAGAACCTCAATGGTGACACAACCGAACCAGAAAAGGCAACGCGGGTGTGAGGTGCCATTTTAACAGATCAGTCCCTGGTCAGTAAGTGGGCCTGAAAAGCACCTACTCACTGCTGAGATACCAAGGGACTGCAGAACGAATGGGGCCATCTGTTGTTCTGGGGCTGTATGCAAGCATGAGGATGTGCTCCCTTTTCCGGGGTCAGAGGCGAATGGATAAAGAAAGAGGTTTTAGCATGATTTAGGGGTGCAAGCCCCTACACCTCCCACTCCCTTTCCCTACGGAATATGTGTGTTACCACCAATGCTGTACCAGCTTTATTGGGCAGGAGGGAGAAAACATGCATACTCCCTGTCCCCGCCCTATCCTGCCCCCTCGTCCCATGTGGTTGCCCTGATACGCAGAATAGCTTCTGTATAGCCAGGGAAGGGGAAGGTGAGATGGTGGTGAATGGGCAGCCCAGTCTCCCTTTCCTTGTAGTGGGGGGGAGATCTGCACACAAGGTCCCCACCATGTATAGGTCTAAGGAAGATATCATCCTGCGCCAACTAGCACAATAAAAATACACAGATGATCCATTAGGAGAGAGAGCAAGGTGAAGTGCAAGGATTTTTTTTAATGCACATTTATTATTCTGATCTCCAGCTAATGAAATTCCACTGGACAGTCATTTAAACGTGATTATTAACCATGGGTGGTTATTAACCTATAGTTCGGGGCCAGCATGGTATTTTCAGTTCCACTTGCAAGAGCTCACCTTAGTCACTGATGCAGGACAGATATTAAAGGGTTCCCTCATGTCCACCACCTCCAGCTTCATCCCCACTGTGAAGAAGTGGCTCCTCAAATCAGCATGATCCTATGCATATATATGGGAAACAAGCAAATCTGCGTATCAGTGATACCGGCCACAAACTCAGCATTTATGAGAACCAAGTGCCCCAGCATTTTCTTTTACAAGAGGTACATTTGCCTGCAGTAATGAATCTGCCTGTATTGCCTAATTAATATGTTGCTCTGTGGCTTTGACTGCTTTCTCTGGGTGGACAGTTTTCCTAACAAAAGAAAGAAACCAAGTATAAACTTTTAAGCCAGACCAGGATAGGTGAGAGAATGAAAGGATCCCATACTAATGCTTGGATCCCATAGGATGGATATTCGGGGCCAAATCTTTCATTCCTTAAACAGCAACAACTTCCACTGACTTCACCTGAAATTTCTCAGTGGATGTTGGCAGCTCGTGACCGTGAGCAGCTAGATTCTCATTTTCACAAAGGTGTTTCTGTGCTGGTCTGACAGCATAACGGGGTCTTAAATGGAACAGAAATAGATAACTTAGAATATCGCTTGTGTAGGGTCCCCTCATCTGGTGTAAGGGATCTACGCCAGCCCTGTTCCTAGCCCTTCAGCACGGGGGGCACACTGGGAGTTGTAACAGGGGAATGTCAGGGGGGTGGCCAGAGTGCACTGCCCTATAGCTATTCTCCATTGCCCAAGGCCCATGGGGCAGATGTGAAGGAGAGCAGCCCGAAGGCTGCTCTACATTTACACAACAGGCTAGGCAGGTTCCTACGTGACAAGAGAACACAGGAAACACAGACACAACTTTAAAGAGACCTTAACCCATCCCCCACTTTGACCCTTACCAAGCATAGGTAACTCAAAATTAGGCCCAGTGACCAAAATCAGGCTCTCTAGCTGTTGAGACAAGGGACAGCACTAGATGTCAGCCATTTATTTTAAAAGCCATGCAACGAGACCGCACGTTACTGCCTTAGGGCTATGTTAAGCCTCACGAGGTGGGCGCGAAGGGATCGCACAGAAGTTGGGACACTCTGGCGGACTCAGCAAAACTGCCTGTGGTCATCAGTGCCCATCCAGATCTCCTGGATGGTATAGAAGAGGGTAGGGGCCATGTCTCTGCCCCCTTGGCAAGCCTAGCTCTGGTGAAGGCATTCAGGGGATTCAGGCCCTGGGATTGTGGCTCACCCCTATTCAGCATCACAAGAGATGGAGGTATGGACGGATCCTTGGTCCCTCCCCGAGCTTGCAGACCTGCACGGGAGTGGCAACAACCTGGCCCTCCAGCCACACAGGATTTCAACAAGGTTTCCCAAAAGTCACCACTCCAGCTGGCCCCCCTCAGCCGAGCAGAATAGGCCATGGAGACAGAACAAGTCCTCAGAACCCAAAAGGCGGGCAGCAAGGTTGCACATTTACAGGGCAGTGCGGGGAAGCCGGCCAGCACTAAACCTGGTCTGTGCATAAGTAAAGCGCCCTCCTCAAACGCTAAATCCACTAATGTAACAAAGGGCCAGAGTCTACCAGTCTAAGAGGAAGGATGGCGCCAGTGGTTATGGCATTAGGCTGGGATTCGGAAGATTCACATTCAATTCCCTGCTCCGCCAAAGGCTTGCTATGTGATCCTTGGGGGGGGTCACCTAGTGTCTCTGTACCGCTGTCCCCCATGTGTAAAATGGAGATATTAGTCCGGCCCTCCTTCACAGGGAGGGTGCGAGGTTTGTAAAGTCTGAGAAGTGATCAAATAACATTATCTCACTCAGGCTGAGCAGTACCTTACGCTGCAAGGAGAAGATTTCAGTGGAAAAAGAGACTGTGAATATGGGTGGATGAATCTGGACCTAAACAGACACTCTGATTTGCTGGCCTGTGCATGCACGATTAAGGGAGAGGTTTGCTCAACTTTGTAGGGAATTAATTTGGGTGTTCAAATGCCTTAATTGGCTTTTAAACTCTCAGCCTCCGACTCCAAACTGGGACGGTGCTAACCACGGATTTATCCTTTGCAAGGGGCAGGCAAGTCTTGTTCCCATTGTTTAGACACCTGTTTCCTCAACAAAGGACATCACAGGTAGAAGCCCTAGGACCGCATTGCATTAAGGATCACGTTTCAGTTTTATTAGCTCAAGAGTGATCTCCTTTCTGTGGTAAAAGAGTATTTCCGAACCATCAATCCATTAGCCAGTACATCTCCTGCGATAAGAGGTATTGTTTCACTTTAAAAAAAAATGCTCTGGACTCCAAATTGCATGGAGAAAACCTACTTCTATCTAATAGTACTTGGCAATGCCATTCCCTTCTACATTCACCGCTACATGTTATATTCCTGTCCTAAAGTGGTTTTATATTGATTCAAAGTAGTATGTCATTTTTTCCCCCTAGAACTGTCTTTACTTACGGATTTAACAGTTTCTATTTTGGGGAACTTCTGTTTCTAGTGACATTGAAGGAAGGGTTTTACAAGCTTTAGTAGAGACGGAGGAATCATTGTTTTAATCTTGCTTTGCACTTCTATCGTACCTTTCATCAGAGGATCTCAAAGCACTCTAAAAAACATTAATGGATTTAGTCTCCCTGCAGGGTAGATATTATTTTCTCCATTTTGCAGCTAGGGAAACTGCCGAAGGTTAAGTTAATTGCCTAAAGCTACACAGTAAATTAATGGCAGGGAAAGGAACACAACTCAGGAATCCTAGCCTCTGGCTGTATATTTTAACCATTAACAATAAAGCCTAGCGCTTATATAGCACTTTTCACTTGTAGATCTCAACGTGCTTTACAAAGGAGGACAGTATCATTACCCTCATTTTACAGATGGGGAAACTGAGGCACGGAGAGGCACTGACTTGAGACGCTTACTCATGTTTGCTAGTTATCATCCCCTCTGGCAAGGGCCCAGTCCTGCTCAGTTCTAATGGCACAATCTAGCCCACAAAAAGAGGGTGACATCTCATTTCTACTAGCCTTACGGTGAGCAGTACTTTATTCTGGGATCAGTCCCATTGCTTAAATGGGATTGCTCATGGAGTAAGGCAACTACTCGACAAGAGTCAGGGTAGCAGAATCTGGGCCTGTGTAAATAGTGCCTAGAGTGTATGATGGATGCTTCAGAAATGCATATCGTCATCACCACCAAAATCATCAGCTTTGCCACGGAATGTTTCAATTAGAGATGGGGCATGGTTGCAAAATTCAGACCTGAGTCCAGATCTAAATTTCAAACCCCCAAAGTTCGGAAGCATTTGGACTGAGGATTTTGATTTGGCTGTTACACAGGGTCCAGCCATGAAGTTCGTTTCTACATTTTGAATGCCCCAACCATTTGCTTCAAAGTATATAGACAGGGATCATTTGCAAAATGTGCACTTGGGAACTAGGTTTGGACTGCAACACCTTCCCCCAGATCTGGGATATGAACTATTCTCAAGCGTCAATACATTTTAAAAACCCAGATCCAGCAAAGCACTTAAGCATGTGCTTTACTTGAAATAAGTGAGTAGTCCCACTGGCCTCAAAGGGGGTTGCTCATATGCTTAAAGTTAAATCCATGTTTAAGTATTTTGCTGATTGGGGCCTAAATACCTAGATCATATTGCGAATCATTTTTATCTGCATCCATTTCTGGGGTTGAGTTTTCCATAGCTAGTTTTTGTTGTTACTTTCTTAAAGACAAAATTAATTCAACAGAAAGAACAACTCTGTAAAAGTCTAACAATACATAGCATGGTTTTGTTTCAAAAGCACATCCATGTCTGCCTTCGGATCTTATTTTGCAGCCCAGCACCTTAAAGTTTGAGCACCTTGCATGTAAAATCAATACCAATAGTGAAGTCTCTAGTGGACTTCATGGAGTCTCGGGTATTTATTTCTTTTTGGGGTCAAAACTCTACACAGGGTAGAGGTTTTTTTGGGGGGGGGAAGCGGGGGCTGATTTGTTTTGTTCAACAGTTGCATAGGGATTTAGGAGTAAAAAGGGGTGTTACTGTGGAATGTCATTCTTATGACATTTGCTTCACCCCTAAAGCCCGTTAGACTCTGGATTCACCTCTCTCTCCTGGAAGTTTGTTACACAATAACAATATTTATGAAAAACGTCTTAAACCACACTTTCACCTCAACAATGGAGGGGGGAGGGGGGAGAGAAAGGAAGGTCCCAAAACACAGTCCCTCCAGTCCCAATGGTCTGACTGCTTTGGGCCACTGGGAATTGGCGAGGCTACGGCATATGCTTCTCTTCAAAACTCCAATTAACTGACATAATTTCTAAGAATAGGTTTCACTGAAGTGAAAGGAAAGCTTTTAATTAGTATTAGTCTCAAACTGATACACTGCATAACGAACTGCTCTCTCATTCCTGTATTCACACTGCTACATGATATGCCATGTTAAACAGGGAAAAAAAGGACTTTCCTAGTCATTCCACATTGTGTTCTCTCTCCTGGTTTATTTCCTTCTATAAGGACGACCGAGTGTTTAAGGCACCTTTCTTATATTTAAATCCTCATTAGGCGCTCCTTGTTCTCCCAAAATGGATACCCTCTGCAGCGGGAGTTTTGGATGTACAAAGAAAGGGCTCGCTTCCTGGAAAGCAGTGAAGGCTAGCAGATCGGGCACTCTGCCGCAACTCGGGAGACTGGTTTTTAATTCCTGGCTCGGCTGGGTTACCTTGGGCAAGTGACTTCATGTCTCTGTTTCCTCTCCCGCCCTGTGTCTGGCTTCGCCTTTGGAGTCTGCCCCGAGTGAGAGATGGCCCATCGTTATGCTGTCCCAGGCGCACACCGGACACCAAGGTGATGAAGGGTGGCAAAATCTGGCCCTTTATTATTATTTCACAAGGTTCAACAGTTAAGAATCCAAAGCACATGCTTGAGCTGAGGCGTGAGGGAAGCTGCCAGCAGTCCGGGGGAGCTGGCACACCTCACAAACGCTGGGCTAGTCAGATCCAGGGCTTTGATTCAGGGTCTGTTATAAAGGTAGGGGCCACTTGCAGAATCCAGACTGGGTGTGGATAATAAACACTTTCAAAGCGAGTGAGTGAGTGGATCCAGGATTATCTCC